ATGAAGACCATATATATTTAATATTTAAAGCGCTTGCACATGTTCTAACTAATATACTGCAACAGGAATTAGGTGTATGGACTTCATTAATGATATATAGCATATTGTAGCAATACCACATTTATTCAACTTAATTACATGTTCTATTAATTAGTGCTGGGTAACGATTAAATTTTTTTAATCGTGATTAATCACATGATTTTCTGAGATTTATCGCATAGTTGTGCGCAAAATTGAATAATGAATTCTAAAGTAGTGCATTGCGCACTTTTAATTTAAATGTACTGCTATATAAAAAATGCAATCACATGTGGTTTGCAAACACTTTAAACAAATAAGGTGGTTTTACCAGCAGTATTCCCTTTAAACAGTAGCAATAAAATATTTATTGTAAATCTCAACTTAAACATTGATGTAATCAAATCAAATATAAAACCAAAGCTATTTGCCACTGGCAGGGCGTTACCTTTTATAGCTTGTTAAAAAAAGTTAGTGTCCAGAGCCATGTTAATAGTATCATAACAGGCACCTTCTAAGCAACAGGTTAGCATATATAAATCTGTTTTCTTGGGGGGGGAGGTTTCTGAACAGGTATCAGCAGAAACATTTTCTTTTATCAGGGTCCCTGTTAGATTGAGGTGAAGTGGTCGCCTCACGCACACGCCTGCTGCCAAAGTTGAATTGTCTTGGCGAGGCGGAGCACAAATTATTGGAAGAGAGACTGATGCTCGCTATCTATTACAGTTTACCAAATAGACATCAACAGGAGGGAATTCGCATGGCAGAGCATCCCCGCAAAACTAGAAGGCCTATCAGGTAAAGTTATATAACGTTAGCCTATAATTTTAACTAATTATAACACAGAAGCCGTTGTCATGGTTACCATCCATAGAGTGCCTGCCGTTTTACTCGTGGAGCGCTTGTCTCCCTGTCTGCGACTATGTTGTGATTTTAAGAACGTTCCTAAGACCGACATCTTCCCCAATAATAATCAGCCTGCAGTGTGTAGCTATCCACTTCCCTATGGCATTTGATTGATTTGAGTGGGTGATTTGCAGGCTGATCAACATCCCACCCCTCCTGTGACCCACGGTTTGACTGTATGTGTATACAGAGCCAGTGAGCAACAGACTTTCAAAATAATAATAATAATAACTGCGTTAATGTGCCCAGCCCTACTATTAATGTATGCAGCATTCCAATCTTTTCTCTGCTGTGTAATCATGATACTTTCATGAGGGACTTTTTACCTAACCCTAAACGTACTAGCCATTTGTATGAACATAATAAAATAAAGACTATTTAGGTTGACTATATTTCTACCCATTTTAACCATATAGGTATAACATATAGCACATGTTTCAAATTGATGTTGACAGCACAATATATTCAGGTGAAACAAGACAGGTACAGTACAGGCAAGAGTACATATCTGCAAATTGAAACAATGTGGTTGTTGGGGAAGACATACAATTGACTTCTTTGATCTCCATATCAGGAGAGGTGAGGTAATACTGCTCACACAGCATCTTTGAAGTCTCATAGGCATCTACAAAGTGAAAAAACATCTGTGGTTACTTTTTACTGTAAGAAATTCTAACCACAAAAGACAACTAATGATGAATGGAGAAGAACATTAGAAGACATTATGTTTCCTGCCTTTCAGTGAACTGTTTTTATGGGATTAGTTTTTATGGGAACAGTCTCAAGTATTCAAAAACAAATGTCAAGGTACGTAAACTTGTAAAAGCCAATGTACAATGAAATGTAGAGTGATATGTATCTGTAAATCTAGATCCGTATCTGTGCCAGAGTGATTTGTATATGGAATCTACAGGAAAGGCTCGGTCTTCCCTGCACGTGAATGTTTTGCAACACAAAGGGCGCATGAGGACAGTCTCAAAAGGATCCACACAAAAATGTTGAGATTCACAAAAAAAAATGCCAAGTTGATGAACAAATGACGATATACGTGTTGTAAATTAGACAGACAAATACAGATTTACACATACAAATCACTCTGGCACAGATATGGGTCCAGATTTACAAATGACTCCATGTATTTGTGCATTGTGTTTTATACTTATGAGACTGTTCTAGTCCCCAACAGTTTACACAACACTCAGAGATGGGTCTATTGCAGCCATGCACATCGTGATAACATGTTTCCACTTCCCACTCTGTATACTGACTCTAAAAATATCAGATAATAAAGGGTCAAACAGTCATGAATCTGTACAAACAGAGAGCAGGGTAAAATAGGTAAAGCATGTGTGTGCATATAGACTGCAGTACTGGAGCAGAGGAAGATCCTTCAATACCTTTTACTACCTCCACAACATCACAGGTGGGATCAATGCTGCCAATATGTTTGGGATGGGCTGGGTTCACACTGCCTTCGAAGATTAATGCTACAGGGTACAACACAACAAATGTCAGTCCATAAACACAAACATATATACACACACGATTAACCGTCCATAGATCTTGTACTTTTGTGAACATCAATTTGAATGAGTTCTTCTGCAATTGGACATATTAACAAGAGCTGAACACTATTGCTAACAAAGCAACACAACACTATTATTCTACTTGCAATAATGCCAGATGCATTAATCACTCAGTGCTACAGAGGTGCTGCACTACTGTAGAGCTATCAAGGCAGGCCGGGTGTTGACTATGTGGCGCTGTCTGACAGAAAAAAGAATGTGCAGTGACAGAGCCCCTTTCTCAGGTCAACACTTTCAAATGTCAGCTCTCAAGCATGATTAGCCCTTTCAGTGAGGGATGCACCGAAATGAAAACTCTTGGCCGAAGCCGAAATTGAATATAATGAAAAAAATTGCTGAATACTGAACACCAAACAAGTACATTCTCAGTTTTTTCCATTTATTTAGCCTTTTTTTTACCATTGCATGAATTATATAGTCAAAATGTGCTTTTTACTCTGTCACCCACTGGATTTGGAGAGACTATGGTTGGTGGGTCCGAGGCCCAAGAGGGTCCGGTAAAGTAAATTACATGTGTCCATTTACTTTTAATGTACAACTGTAATATGTTTTATACTTTCTGTGAATATAATCCAATTAATCGTATTTCCATACTGTATAGACACCTTGTGTTGATTAACTCACAGTCAATCACAGAGTGCTATACTGACTGTGCTGGTTCATGAGCATGCGCGTGGAGATGCGGCTCATGTAGAAGCGGTCCAGGAAGTATTGAACGTTCTGGTTGGTGACGGGGTCCACACCGAAGGCCTCCTTGTACTCCACCACACCCTGAGCCATGGTGGGCACCACGTTGTTGTGCCGATTACGGATGTTCACCAGAGTCTGTGTAAAGCTGAGGGCAAAGACGTGACAGACTTGTGGGTATGTGAGGATAGGTAGTAGCCTACACCGTGTTTCTACACACCAGCGTGCACGGTTTTATGTTGCTCCCTTGTCTACATGCCTGCTTAACATAGCACACTGCTGTAAATTCACATAACAACAGGGCTGGATCTTCTGATAAACACATCAAAAACCTATCATTTTTGGCTAAAATTCAAACTAGAACTACTATGACATTTTCAACAAGAATTTTGTGTTGCCAATATCTTCCCAGCCATAACACATAAAAATGCATGCACACACCAGCCTATTAGGGATGTACCAATGTCCATTACCTAGTAATCGAATCAGAGCTGATCCCAGCTAATTTTGACGTACTGGTATCATCGGCATACATGTATTATTTTGTTTTTACCTGCACCTAATCAATGCATCCTAACTGACATGGAAAAAATAATTGCATCAAAACAAGCATCATCCTACACTTACTATCCACCACTTACAGCATACGCAATCAAACAGGTAAACCTATTGTTTGCAGAGCTGTCCAATGGTGACTGGCTGCAGTGTGTTTAATTTTAATAGTACTCCTTCAATCATCAATTTGAAGAAACCCGATTACAAGCAGTAAAAGAAAAAAATTCTAACCGAAGGTGCCCGATTAAAAAAAAGTAGCAAATATTGAAATGTGTGCTGAATAAATAAAGACAAATTAAAGACTCCAAATTAAAGGAATTATTCCTTTTCATGGTGGACCATGCAGTGGAACATTAACTTAATGGAGCCATTGGAGGAACACTGTAATTAATCTTCTATCTTTGAGTGTGACAGTGGCTTTCAGGAGCTGTACAACAAGGTATGTGAACATGAAAGATGTGACCACAGCCATTAGGTTTTCAGGCGTCTGCATTACTGAGTCTGCTCACACTTTTGAAAGTGTCTGTAAGTGACTTACCTTGTCAGGACATCCTTATCATCTGGATCTTGTTCTAAAAAATCTACCAGCTCCAACAAACTCTGTGAATACCTGGTGGAGACAAAAGGGTAGATTTTAAAAGAAGATTCAGAAACACACTTACTGTATAACAATGACAAGGAAGCTCCAGTATTATGAAAAAAGAAAAACATTTATCTGGTCATTGAATTTATGTGAAATTGTGTGTAGGGCATATAAACCAATAATAGAATAACAATGTTCTCGCTTTAGATAAGAGTGGCTTGTTCACAGATCTGTAGGCCAGTGCGTTGAACCGGAATTAAGTGCTGAGCTCATTGAGTCACACTCTCCACCGCTGTCTCACTGTAGAAAAATTGGGTGAAAGGTGAACAGCAGTGTGGCTATGAGTGCTCAGTTTGTCCCTCAACTGACCTCCAGCGCTCTAATTTTGGATTAAGTCCCGTCATGCAAACAGATCTACATCTTGAAATAGACTATTTTGCAACTTTGTTGTAAGAAAGGAAATATCAAGGCGTCGCCTCTCTTCCCTTGTCAACAACATTAACAAGTGGCAATCCAAAGAGCTCTGCAAGAGTGGGAAGAGAAACCCACAGTACAGGAGGTGTATGGCCAAATATAGACACTGCTGCGACTCTTCTGAAAAGTGTGGGGGTGGGGTACTGACCTTGTTGTTAACATGTCTTAATGTGACTTTTACACCAAACATTATCAACATGCTAACGTAAAGTCTGCAGTACAATACTGTGTTTTACCATGATGCAGCTGCGTTGGGAAGACAAACTCTTAAGTAGTGAGATTACCCTGAGAGAGGACTGGGAGCTCTCTTACAACTACCCAGTATCTTTAGCGCTAATTTATTGCTATATGCAATAACAAAAACTGGAGTTTAAAGACAGGAGAATGTGGTTGGAGCCAACATCCCACTAGTGGTCAAGCCTGTCACATGTGTCCAGGGGGAGGTTCATTGTATCTCATCAAGTGAAAATGATTACAGCTATTCTACTAACAGCTGAAAACTATCATTTCACTATCAAATTATCATTTCCCCTACACACACTCTGTATGTGGGTGCATTCGCTATGTTTACAGCCTTAAAGGACTCTTTAGGACATGTACACTGAAATGGGTGTGTGCACACACAAATGCAGGTATAACTCTCCCTGTCTGTGGGTTGTGACCACAAACAAAAAAGGTGGCACTGGTGTTATGTAGTATGACTTCCTCAAACTTCTAAATCTGTGCTACACTCTTTATGGTACAACAAGAAATTGGAGCACATATGTAACAGTAACATACCAACACAGTACACAGATAAATGGCATGTAACCATAAAGTGCACAGAGAACAGCTGGATGTGGGAGGAGGGGGACTGATATATTTAAACAAAACGGACAGTGACAAAACCTCACACGTAAGCCTGTGACTTACTGAATTTACCAAAACTAAAGGAAGCAAATGGCATACAGAATGGATCTGTTTTATATTTAAAGCTAAACATCGGAAAGTTGGAATATAAAGAAAGAGTGATTTGAGAGATAATAAGGAGTGGGCTTAAATGACCCAGACTTTTGTTTCATAGCAATCCCCTGCTGAAACAAGAACCAGTTCCTGTACAGCCTTATATAATCTGGGAACCCGGGGGAAAAAATTAAAATAGATAAACAGTAGGACTCTCACTCTTCAGTTTGTAGGCACCCTACATTTCCTTTCCTCACTCCTGCTATAAAACTTAAAGACTTGATCATTCCCAGATTTTGGTGCAACAGATTATGCAGAAATATATATGTAGTGTCTTGAGATCTTACCAGCTGGTGAGGAGCTTTAGGGATGGAGTGCTGAGGAGCTTGTCAGGGAGGAAATCAATTTCCTTCATGATGTTGGCCAGTCTGACAGGAAGCTCCTGCCGCAGGAACACAAAGGAGGTCTTCTCACATGCATTGGCCGAGCCTGCAGTCACATGAGGGACAGAATCATGAGAAAAAATTACTGAGCAAGCACTGAACTTCGACCCCATTCTGTAAGAAAATATAGACAAATAAAACAGCAACCTTCCTAATCATTAACATTTGGTGGAAATAGGGCCGGGTATCGCTGTATTGTTCAAACTGTTTTGATACCAGTGTCTGTACTGTTACCTTATATTAGTTACCCTATATCTGAACAGTACTGGACTTTGGAAAAAACAACTGTCAAAAGGAACATTAATAACAAACAGAGGTTGCAGAGGTCAAGAACGTGTCAGTGCAACCAGCAGCAACATTGCACACAGCAAGGGCGGCCAGCACCCCAGGGAGAGACTGGTCTCCTGCACGGGTCGTCCCGGACCTCACCAGCTGACCCTCCACTACCTGCACACCTCTTTTCTGCCCTAACACTTGCAAGCCCCCTGCTGCCCCTATGTTTCCGGTCAACACCCGCTGCTACAATTATTATTATCATTAGTCCTACTGTTATTATCATTACTAATGCTATCATTATTAGTACTATTATTTATTTTCATTGATATCAGTACCACTACCACCATTACTATCGTTTTACATCTCTTTCTCTCTCTCTCTAACCAGTCAAGGCAGATGGACGCCCACCCTGAGTCTAGGTTCTGCTTCCTTGCCACTGTTGCCAAGTGCTTGCCCATGGTGGGATATGCTTGGTCTCTGTAAATAATATTACTTGACATTTATGCAGTCCTATCTCAGGGATATGACTGCCAGGTCTTTGGCTCATTCCATGCTTGGTGCATCGACTGAAGCAGTCTAAGGTGTTTTTTGGTTCAGGCCCAGTTGGGGGGTATATCTTATCCCTATGGCCTTCGCCTTTGTCTTGGTATTGTGTGGTAGGATGGGTGGCTGTGGTGCACCAATATTCTGCTGAAGTGCAGTATGGCTTGTGTGGATGCAATTATTTGTGAGCAGAATTTTGCTTATTAAAAAATTTGCTGTTTGTTTGTTCATTTTTGTTGTTTGGTTATTTATGGTGGAGGGAGGTCACCAGTCCCCCATCAAGGAAGCTCAAAGAACAATATTTGTAGCTATGGGGAGCGCCATATAAAAAAATAAAAATAAACACTGTTTAAACTGATAAACAGCCCCTTAGTATCGTTTGACACTCATCCCTAGGTGGAAAATTGTTCAGGATTATCTGTGTACATGGTCTTTTCTTACAGGAACCTGTTGTGCAAATAAAATGGAAAACCATGACGAAAATATCTGCACTTTTCAAGCATTTTTTTTTTGCTGGATTCAATTATGATGTTATAATGTAAGAAGGCCTATTGTAGATTAAGTCAGTCATCAAAAGCAAACCTTCAAAGTGGTAATTGCAGAAGCGTGTACAGTAAAGGACACGATAAAACATCTAAGAAACGTCAGAACCTGCCTTATCTATGTGCATGGGAATTTTACTTGTATTAGCTGCAGCTGTCTGTCAAATAGGCTACCTGCAGTATGTTACTGCAAAGTCAGCTGTGAAGACACACTGAAGGAATAACGTGACTTGTGTGACTGCCATGTGAGCGTGGGGAGGAATTAACGTTAAGTAACGTGCATTGCATCCAACGCAATTAATACTACTCGAGGCACTTACCAAAGTCTATGAATTGCTTCATAGACAAGGGAGAAGGGGAAAACTTAGAAAACCTCTCCACTTGTTTCGGTATCCCAGCAACAGAGCCATTTTTCAGCAAGAACTGAGCGAACTTCATTTTTCCTCTGTTTCGGACCCCAAATGTCAGTGTATCAGGGACAAACTGTCCTTCCTCTGTTCAGCACGCTCCAGTTTGACGACTGCTAAGCTAGCGGGGCTAATGCTCGACGTCGTACAAGACTCATTAAATCTACGTCTTTAAGGATGCTGGTAATGAGTCCACCATCGTTATTTTTCTCGAGCCGTCTGTCTTATGCCCTTCAAACGCTACTTCCAACAGTGCGGGATGTTATTGTTGTCGGACAGGGAAGAGGAGTGATTGACATTCCTATCAACCAATGAGCGCCAAGAGATTCCTGGCAATGGCGCATGCGTGGATTGGTAGGCGGGCATGAATCATGGCAAGAATTGTTGGTTGTTGAATTATTGTACACGTTTAATAGACTTTAACAAACTTGAAAAAAAAATTGAGTAGGGCAGAGCATCGTGTGGTGTGGGGACATAACACACTGTGGGGGAGTGAGAAAACTGTCAGTAACAGATTTGTTAGCTAGGGGGAATTTAGTGTGCCTCAATAATGGAAGGCCTAGCCTATATAACAAGGATATATGTTAATACAGTAAAGAAGTCTTTTATATTAAAAGCATAATTAAACTCATCCTCCTTTACTGTTCAACCTGTTATTTCAATATTCTCACCGTGCCAAATAGGAACAAACTTACATGCATCACAAAGAACGGCACCAAAATAATTGGTCTACCCACCCCCAGCCTCTCTGACCTCAAAAGGAAAGCCATTTTACGGAAAACACTCATAATAGTACACAACATCAGTCATCCTCTCAACACATTCTTTACTCTGCTTACATCAGGATGTGGATACAGATCCCTGGCCTGGAGATGGGCTTGATATAGCAGGAGTTTTATCCCCTCTCCCGTAGCACTACTCAACAAAACTACTTGTTTAGTAAGAAAGTATGTTAGATTGGTATCAATTTGTGTATAAATGCGCTGTCTGATATAGGATATATGTTGCTGTAGATGTGTTTACATTGTTTATATGTGAGGCTATTTATATTGTACATATCCATACTCCTTTATATTTCTTCTTTACATTTCATATTTCTTCTTTTTATGTCGATATATTCTTTACCTTTAACCTTCTATTATTTCTATTCCTTTATGCCTCGATGTGTGCAACTTTGACACAAGAATTTCCCCCAGGGGATGTGATACTGATTCTGATATAGATTGCGGAAAACAATTTCCTGAAAAGGACAATAAAGAATCTAATCTAATCTGTCTTAATATGATATTAAATTGGTTTCAAATATTGCTCCAATTTGTGTCTGGAAAGTATACTAAGAAGGAACCATGCATTATCCAATGTATTGATGCTTTATTGATGCTTGTATGTTGTTCCTCAAATGTAAGTCACTTTGAAAGAATTAGTAAATGTAAATTATGTAAAATAAACATCAGTGCATGTAGACTGTGTTTGAGAAAGCTAACCGGTAGAGGTTTAAGTAGGAAAGTGATGACTATATGGATCAGATTAATGGTAATATGACCCTAGAAACTCTTGATAATTAAATAGAAGAAGGTATTAGAACAGCTGCACTGAGATCCATTGCTAAGAGTAAATGCAAAATAAAGAGTGCGACAGTACCATGGAAGGAGGACAAATGTAAAGAAGATGTGAGAAACTGAAAAAGGCATTTAAAATAATGAAATTATTTTTCATCATATGATACAGTACAAAAACATGGTTAGGCAGTAGTAAGGATGACAATAAGACAAGCAAAAAGGTCATACTGGAGAAAGTTTTGTGGCTCAGTTAGCAGCTCGACTCCAGTAGGAGAGGTGTTGAGAATAATTAGAAAGATGGAAGGGTACAGAGAAGAGTGAAGTTGTCCTGTGGTTATGGGGCTTGTAAAAAAAATTGCAAGGAGATAGTTGCAAGATTTCGATTCTTTGGAACATAGATTGACTCCAGGAGAGAATATTGCATTAAAAATATTGTGAATAAGTGTAAAGATTGAGGACTGGGGAGCGGATTGCATCCTCAAAAATATACATGTTGTTCTAATTACTCCAAGGTTAGATTCTGAAAATGTAGTTTATGGATCTGCATTAAAAACTGTACTTTTATTAGGATTAGATGTGGTGGAGGCCCAGGCTTTCAGATTATTTATTTCAGAACTGTGTGTGCCCTACAAGTTGAGATAAGAGTAGTGCCACTGTGTTAAAGCAAAATCATCATCACAGTGTTTTGTTCACTGTGATGATCCCTATATCACTACAAACTCTAATGGTAGATTTAGAATTACTTCAAATTAAAGCTTTAGAACAAAGTTATATTCCGTAGTCACTCAGTCTTTGCTCCGTCCTGCCAGGACTTACTATTCAAAATAATGGCAATACATTGAAGAGTAATAAAACAAGGCACTGATGTCACATTCATGTGGGTTCCTGCAGATGGTTCCTGCTCGTATGCACATTTGTGGTAATGAGAGAATGGACAAACCAAAGATGTTCTAGATAGAACAATCTAAACAAACTGTTTTAAAAAGAAAACACAGATATACATACTAAACTTTCAAATTCAGAGGGAAAGGGCATTGTATGAAAGAAAATCAATAAAGAGTAGCAACTCTTCTGGGATCAGGAAATGAAACTCATGGCAGTAACACAACCAGAATCTCACACAAAGGATGTCAGCTAGAAGAAGAATAAGAAGGGTTGGAGTACAGGATCCAAACTGTGCTGTGAAATAACAGAATATTTTATTACAGCGTCCCCTACCGACGAACTACAACAAATACATTTACATTATTTTACATTTTTGAACTCGTCTGCTAACAACATTTTTTTTACCCGTCATACATCTTCATTAGCTGAAGACACATCTGGACCAGACGTTGCAACGCTACTCCAACGACCGTAACGTTAGTAACGGTCACCTGCCTGCTGCTTTTTATCTAAATATTACTGGGCCGCCAACTAAATCTAAATCTCCGCAAGCGAGTTAGAGCATCTTTTCTTACCTAACTATGCATAACAGACGGGTAACGTCTGATAAGTATTAACATTTGTTTATTTACTAGGTACGACCGCTCCAACGCACTTCTCCAAATGGCCAGAAGATGGCGGCGTTGCAAAAGCCAGCAGCAGACGATGACAGTGCGCGTCAGAGGCATCCATGACCAGAGGAGGTGGGATTTCCCTTCCTCCTTCTCCTCCTCCTCCTCCTCCTCCTCCTCAACATCATCCTCCTCCTCCCAGGGATGTATCGGCGTGCAGTGCACCTGCTTTATGTCTTATTTGGGTCATCGTCCGCTGAAATGCTCTGTTTTTACCAGTGTCATCAATAGCCACAGGAAAAGGTTCAAACGGCCTGTTCGGTGAGGCCTCGATTCACTGTGATTTAGGTTAGAGGATGTGTTGATTTTTCTTTCGGGGTGCAGCAGTGAGACAGCATCTTTGCCGGGTGACACATCATAATCAATACGAGTGGAAAAGGTACGAGTGGAACAATAACAATAACGTTACATTATGTGGTTATTTATGATTAAATATTCCCCCTTTTTATGAGCTAATCGTTATCGAAGTTCAGTAACATTATTGGGCCTTAACGCTTTGACGCAAAATTGCTGTCAAATTCGTGTTTAGCTAGCTGCGAATGTATAAATGCTCTGCTAGTTAAGTGAACACGTAATGGGTTTGCTGTTTACATATTTATCTATGTGTTATGATTATACTGTGTATTTGTCAGTTCCCATCTATTTCCCAATTTTTGTTCCATATAATTTGCTATGTCTGAGAGATGTGACACTGGCCTAACACCCAGCAAATGACTAGTCAGGGCGCAGACTGCTATGAATAGGTAGCCCACCTTTCTGTAATAACTCATTGTCAGTGAGCCTGAGACAAGATCCTAACCATAAGGCTACCTTTAGTTCCTCCACCCCAACCGCACACACTTATTTATCTTTTTAATTACATGTTAACTGAATTTGAATAGTGGCAAATAAAGTGTTGAGTAGAAAAGTGGCTGCCTAAATATAGCCCACTGGACTAGCTCTACCAGAATAGGTACAAGTGTCACACCAATGTGTAAATCGATCTTGGGTAAGTATGGCCTGTTATTGAAAGCCTTTTTGCCAATATCAACTTATTGGTTGCTGGTCCTGCAAGATTTTTGATGCACTGTATGTGGATGTATAACTGCCACACCCAGTGGGTTTTCAGAAGCATCACTTAGGCTCACTGGATAAACCTATGCTCCTCCATCCAGTATCATGTCACAATGAAACCAGAGTACATTGTGACAGTGCAACACGTAGCTCATTCCTGTTCAAACCTCTTCCTTGAAGCCCCCGTAGGACACCATGTCGGACAAAAGTGACCTGAAAGCAGAGCTGGAGCGCAAGAAGCAGCGCCTCGCCCAAATCAGGGAGGAAAAAAAGAGAAAGGAGGAGGAGAGGAAGAAGAAAGAGGTAAGGAAGAAAGTGAGTAACTTCACACAACTGGCTCTCATGCTGTACCGCACTCTAGTGTGTATTGTTTGTGTGTTCGATTGCTTTTTGTCAGGCCGTGACACATAAAAGGCTGAGGTTGTGTGTGTCCATGCGTGCATACAGTCATCTATGTGTGTGCAGAAGGTTGGTGTTGGAATTTTTGATCAAAATGTGCATGGACATGCATGTTTTAACTTGTCCTTTCGCTCATGATGGGCAAACTGACCTTTCTCTATGTATCCTGAGCAGTCAGAGAGCCAGCAGAAGAGAGAGATGACCCCAGAGGATTCAGACTTAGACCGTAAGCGCAGGGAGACTGAGGCCCTGCTACAGAGCATTGGCATTTCACCGGAGCCTCCTCTAGGTACATAATACTCTTTCACTATAAACCATAAATGAATCATCAAATGGTCTGCAGCTGCCCTTTTGCGATTGTGCTGTAGAAGATATTGTTCTACAGTAAATCTTAAATAGATGTAAAATTACAGCCAAAAAACTTTTGAGGAGCCCTTTAATGATTCAGCTATACTCACTTACATAAGATGCACACGCCAGCCTACCAGATGTGTAATTTGCTGAAATATTTCAGTCCAATAGTGAAATGATCAGAAAAATTAAGTATGTTATTCTATGTGTTGCCATAACTCTGCATATTATAGCACTTCTGTTGTATTTGTTTTGTTTTGTTTTTACAAAAAATTGTAACTTTGTCACACATACTGTTTTAATAGATTTCATCAGATAACACTGCTTTTTATCCTTAGTTGATCCCATAGTTGTGCTTGAACTGTGATCCTTTCTCATAATTACTTTGTGTCACTTTTATAGCAGCTCCCTTTTTTCTGTCCAACTGTGTACCTTATCTTGTAATAAGGAATTTGGACAAAAATAGTGTTGACTAAAAGTATGCTGCTCAACAAAATATCTTCCCTTCACTTGTGGTCAAATCTAATAGATTGCTGCAGCTTGAATTCCCAGGGTGTCTGTCACTTCCAGCAAGCTTTTGGCCTTGCACTGTTCTCTAGTGGTCTGAAATTGTAACAACACTTTCAACACTTCAAAATTGGGTCACCGCTGTCCCGGTTATTAGTTTGATTTATTTATAATGCACCTTCAAATGACACTGAGTACAAATAAATAACAGATACAAAATCAACAATGCATTTGATGCCCTGCCTTCCTTCTCCTTTCTTTTATTTCTTTGTTTAATTTGTCCATCACTCGTTTTACTGTTGCTTTTCATCCCAATTTCTTTGAGCAGTCCATTCTTTGCAGCCTTTAATGTTAGATTCATGTTATTTTCATTATTTAGTCCCGACCCCTGTGTCCCCCTCCAAATCAGTGAGCACGCCCAGTGAGACGGGGAGCCAGGATTCAGCTGACGGAGGAGCAGCAGGCAGGTAGGTCAAAATCACACACTTCCTATGTACCAATGTACAATGTCAGAAGTCTTTCTTGGTTCATGAGTCTTATTTTGCCAAAGCTCAATGGAAATATTCACATTCTTATATAAAACTAAAAGAAATGCTTGATGCTCATATGAAGGAAATATCACACTTGGAAATACTAGAAGGTTTTGCTTACTCTTACTAGACGTGCTCTTTGAGAAGTTACCAATAAACTGTATGTGGTGCCTGAGTCTTCCACAAAGAACGTGGCCTAAAAATGATGAAAACGTGAAGTTACCTTGGGCTGTGGATATTTTTGGGTACTTTTGACACATATCCTGTCTCTTTTCTTGTGTGGCACACCAGGTTTAGGTAAGGATGAGTGTCACTAATGGTGAGGTTGTGGTCCCCTTGTTAGGTTTTGAGTGTGGTATCTGTCTCTTGTCATGGCATCTAGTGTTTTGATGACCACTGTACAGCTGGTTGCTTCTCATAACTAGTCCTGAGAAGTTAAGTTTGATCTCAAGGTAAGTCTCCACTGTAGTCATTCCTGCAAAGAAGCTGGTAGTTTGAAAATACTGCGAGGTTGCAGATTTCCAGATATTATCTGTGCCACATTGGTAAACTTTCAGAAAGCAGCCTTAGTGATCCAGTTAGTGGAATATTTTTTGAAAATAGAGCCTGATGGGCATGAACCATACGCTTGCTGTAAAGGCCTGTAGCTGATTTAAGCGCAAGTGACAAGATGTAAGCTTTTGTCCTTTTGTCGCTGTTCTGTAGGGTCTATTCGCAGTGCTGACTAGCTCATGTCTCATACATGCTTCCGCCACTGCAGCATTTATTTACATGCTTTTACATCCATAACACACCAGACCAGTGGAGCAACTATTTGCCTTTAAGTTCTGCACATGGCTGCTCGGGTGAATAAAACTTGCAGTTGAGAAAAAAGTGGTCATCAAGCGCTTTCCATTTGCTTTTTAATGGCAGCTGACCGCAGAGGTCAGTGTGTGAGTGATGCCCTCAGGGGTCATTAGTGATGTGTTGTTCTGGTATGGCCAAGGGTGGAATTGGGGATGAAGAATGTGTGTTAACTCTGTAAAGTTCATAGCAGAAATAAATTCTCATATGTAAGACTTTTGTTTCTTTTTAGCTTTTACCAATTGGATTTTTGGTGAGTTAGTTCCAGTGCCTGGAATGAAAGATTTTCTTACCCCCCCAAATCCACCCTGGATGATGGCATGCCATTTTGAGCTTCTCCATTTGTGGCTGTGTATGTGTGTGTCCCTTCTTAGGTCAGGGTTCTCTAAAAACAAGTCCCAAGCACTGAGCTCAAGGTAAGCATTTTCACGTCAAACCCAGGAACCCCCCCCTCCCATTTCTTTAGTTGAGTTTACCCTCATGTGAACACAGAGAGGTACCCACAGTGTTGTCAGTGGTCTTATAGCAATGTGTTCCTATCATGCTTTATAAGATCAAAACAGCGCAGTGCCCCTCTGTTCTTCGTTCCTCTGCTCTCCCCTGGCGACTTCCTGTCTGAAGCCCTACTGTCTCCCTTAATACCAGCTCCAAAGATTTTCGCTCGCATGAGTTGAGCCATAGAAGTAATTTAAGCCTTCACAGAGTTGACAATCTGCTGCTTAAAGTGTCATCGCTGTTACTGTAAAACAGCCGGTCTGTCAGGCTAAAGAAATGCCTTGCCACTCTCACCTGGGGCTGTGTGGCACAAGCTGAAGGTCTAATGGGCGTATTCGCTGGCCCTAAAAGGTATCATCAAAAAGTGTAGCGATGTTGGAAGCGCTATCCTTTCACAGCTGGTACATTTCTACCAAGTTGCCATTAAAAAACTCTCTAGGTTTCAGTTGCTGCTTGATTTCCCTGTAAGCAAGTCGTTCCTACCTCCCCAATAACACTGCTTTTTATCCTTAGTTTATCCCATAGTTGTGCTTGAATGAGCTCATGAATTAAGACTTGTCAAACTCATTGATCATGCATGGCAAGTAAACTGTCATATCGAGCGAGTAAAATCTTTATAAATGCAATAATTTGATTTTCATATGCCCAATGTTTTCACGTGAGTATGTATATATAGATTATGTTTTTTGTGCTGTGGTTGTGAGATGGAAAATCCAGTTTCTGGACACATTGTTCATGGCGTTCATGCATTATTTGGCACAAATGTGTCCTTGAAACATCAAGACACAGAATGTCAGACAAACATTAACAACAAAAAAAAGATTAATGTCATACATGTTGCTAAACCTAGATGCTGTAGATGATTAAGAAATCCAAATAAAGATTTCTGCAGAGCTTTCCTGCATTGTATCTGTATCTTAAATGTATCTGTATTTTCCACTTGTAGATACTTGGCAGAAGACCAAGAAATCTATAACAAGACATGAACAGAGCATATTTAAATGAGTAGCATACATTAAAGTATAATGAAATATAATGTCTCCCTGATGCATAGCCCTCCCACGCTATATCCACTTATCTAGACATTGTTCCATCTTTGCATGAAATTCGATGGGAATTCCCGTGTTAAGCCCTTCTCTAGATAAGTGGTCTGTTAGTGAGTGTGAGTGTGCTGATGTTTGTGTGTTTGTTGTAATGTGTCTGTTTGTAAACTCGCATGTCCTCTCTTGCCCCCCCCCCCCCCCCCCCCCCCCCGTTGGTGACATCAGGACGCTGCAGTGGGACACAGACCCCTCTGTGCTGCAGCTGCAAGCAGATTCTGAGCTCGGGTACATCTTCCTTCTCTCCTCTTGTTCACTGCCTGACAAAAAAAATACTGTCATACATCTTATTTAGCATTGCATGACACTTGTTAATAGTCTAATTTAATAGTCCATTTAAAAGGTCAAGCCCTCTAATGATACAGTCTTCTGAATATTGAGCTAGTTCTTACAAGCAGTGCATGGCTCCTCATTTTATTCATTGCTAGAAACATTTAAACAATTTGAGATATATTATCTCAAATTGTATATATCGGACTGATTGGGTTTATGCAGAATATGATTATGCTAATAGGAACATCTTGTCTCTGTTACCCAGGCGCAGGATGCAGAGGCTGGGTGCCTCTAAGATCACACAGGTAGACTTCCTTCCCAAGGAGTTGGTCTCTTACAGCAAGGAGACACAGACGCCGCTCACCGCCCACCTGTCTGAAGGTGAGTATTTGTGTGTGTGCGTGTGCATGAGTGACTTCTCTTTGACAGTCCATATCCACATCAATAGTCTGAGATACAAGCTGTTTTCGGAGTCCGTGGAGGAACAAAGGTCACAGGAGGCAATAGAAGGTTTCACGTTGCAATGACTGTCGACGTTGTGTGGTTGAATTTGATCCTCCTTCGGTTAGCCAGGGCACGGCCTGTAAAGCTGGAGAGATTTAAAGGTTGACACATGATGAAAAGTTACCCAAGATGATTCCTTATGGATGTTAGAGCATCACTGTGTGTGTGTTTGTGTATATGTGTGTGCGCGCGTGTGTGTAGGTGCAAACAATAATATACATTTGTGTGTGAATGTTTATATATTCTTTAAATCATCAAGTTTTCAATTTTTCCATTATGGATATTATTCTTGGGAATAGGAATAGGAAGGACATCCCGTCGTGACTTGGTCTGGGAAGAAATGGTGTACGTGTGTTTGCATGTGAGGTTATGTGTGCATGCATGTGTCTCTGCAAGTGGGCGTGCACATTTATACTGAGCTGCAGTTGCTAAATACATCCATATGGTGAAAACTGAGGTTAGTCCTGCGCTGGATTTGGCATAATGGTGGTGTTCATAAATTCGAGGCTTATACATTTCAGGATTTTTCTGTTGGAGGAGAAAGACAACAGCGATTTGGATGCGTGACAGTTGCAGTTGTTCCACTTAATTGAACTTCACGCCTTTAGTATTACTGCAATAAACAGATATTACACACGTGTAGGAATGCGCATACCAATACTACTCCACTTGCACGCTCTCTATCCAAACTGACTGTCAGACATGTAAATATATTAACTCACAAACACACACACACACACATACACACACAACATGCTCCCTATCATCTTCTCTATCTTCCTCCCTTTAGTTGCCAAGACAGCTGGCAGCCATGTGACTGTGAAGGGGTTGGACTTCCTGCTTCCTGTCATTATAATAGATGGGTCTGGTGTGGATTCCACTGCCTTCCTCCACCGGCGACCACCACGCACATACACACATGTCTATCGTGATCAGCATCCAAACGGCCCACCTCAACCCCCCCATTTCCTTGGCAGACCCAGGAATAGATCATTTATTCAACAAGTGCACAGGCATTGACTCACATATGTGTCCTGGGAGATACACGCATGCATGTGCACTCACACATAGAGAGAGAGAGAGACACACACATCAGAATCAAGTTTTTTTTAGGCTGCTCGTACACACAAGGACTCCCGTTGTCAAAGGGTGTCAGTGTAACTACACAAACAATACAGCTGTTGTAAACTGTACAGAGTGTTTAGGAAAAGAGATAAAAACTATCAATTAAACATCCAAACAAATAAACATGCAGTAGTTACCATATACAGGTCAAGTAATCGGTGTATACATACAAACAAATGTGCGCACTGTGACTGGTCATTGCCTGTAGCAATGCGATATGTCGGCTCATTTAAGTTTGTTTATTTTCAGCATCCAACAGCATTTTCTGGAGGTCCCTCTGTGTGTGTGTGTGTGTGTGTGTGAAAGAGAGAGAGAAAGAGAGAGAACATCTGGGAGCCAGAGCAGAGCTGTGGTGGTCTACAGGGAGGTGACCCCGGCCTTAGGAGACCCTTCCTTTGCATACTACCACAAAGCGTGTGTGTTTGGAGAAAGAGGAGGAAAAGCAGCTGATGGTCGCACCTGCCTGCACTTCTGGCTTTATTGTTTGTTTAGGCCCATTCCTTTTGTTGATTACTGGAGCCAACACGCAATCGCAATTTCAGGTTGCAGCTACAGGTTGTGTACATGACCATTTAGGCAACAGCTTCAAATGTTCTGTCTGCGTTTCCGTCGTCACAGCCAACCAAAGCTGATCTTAGATTTTTGTTGCTATTTATAACGGTAGGTACTTAAACATATTGATTGCTAATCCGTAGTTGATTTGTTAAGGGATGCAAAATGATTCACATTTAATAAAATGTGACTTTTAGGATTAAATATAACAAATAGTCTCTTTGAGCTACAAACATAGGCATGAGTTCAGTATACATGTGTTTGTGTTTGTGTTCCATATGTACATTTCTGTAGGTCATCAGTGTGTATGTAGCTTTGAGCTAAGCTCACCTTGAAGCTCCTGGTGGTTTTCCCATGCAGATGTTTAGTGTTTCCAAAGGTTCTACTCTAATGGCTGGATGAGGACTGACTATCTTACAAACTCTTAACTAATACAATCTTACTTTGAAATGATTTCCAATAGCTACATTTAAATAATGTAAGTAACTTAATTTTAAGTCCCCTACTATGCTAATAACCATTTCATTGTGTTTTTCCTCTTCCACAATTTGGTTTACTTACACCCTAATGCTCTCTTTATGTCTTATACATTCTGATTCTCTCTTTTAGCTCTCTTCTTCTCCACATTGCTTATCTTCCTTTCCTTCATATCATCCTCTACATTCCTTTTCTCCCGTAAGGGTCTGACCTGGGCCAAACTGTTCTGTAAAGTACTGCTACCTTTGGTGTGTGTCAGAGTTGTACAAAGCACAATAGAGGGACCTCTAGTTGAATGGATTTCTATATGTGCGTGTTCAATTTTGTGTTTAAGGATAATTTCAACAGTGATTGAAAATGTCTCACACTTAAGAAACCAGTCCCGGCATTGCTGACCTGCCAAACTGACTATTTTTAAGGTCACATGTCTTTTTTTATATTCCAGACATGATCTCTATGACTAGATGTGTTTTTATCTCTATCAAATGTTATTAGATTTATTAGATATGCCTGAGTTTACTAGATGACCCTCAATATAAGAGGTGGTTTCATATTAAAACTGTAATACTGACATCAAGTGTGTGTGACAGGAAGGATAAGCATAGGCTCATCGTAATCACTTTAAGTCGTTGACGCATGACTTAGGGATTCTCTCATGTCTTCTTCTCCTCATGAACTTCTGACCTCCCCAGCTCTCGTATCATATGAGTGGCTGGCTGGCTGCGCGTGTGTGACGAGAGTGATGCAAGTACACTTTATAGGAGTGTGTGTGCTGGAGACTGAATACAGCTTTATCGAACAGGATTGATTTGATCTGACTGTTGTGTGTGTTCATCTTCTACATAAGAGTTTGCGTTTTAAAGCACACATGGAGTTTGTGTGTGTGACTCTCATTTAAACTAGTTAATGATATGGCTTTTCATTTCCGTGACCAATTGCCTTCCTGTAATCGTGATGTGTAGCTGTCATTGAATGTTCCTTTTCCCAGTGGCTGCTCACTGATCTGTCTGTCCCGAGTGTCCATTGTGTCAGGCAATCAGATTAGCCCCAGTCACGGTTGGCTCCAGCTATTTACTGCTATCCTAATGGGTATGAATGGACATGCCTGTCGTGAGGGAAGGATGTTTTGTCTGACGACATATCAGGGAAATAAAGTAAGGTCTAATGTGGTGTGTGATAGTAACCTAACCTACTGAGGTCAAACAAAGTGTGTGTTGGTAGTGTTTCATGCCTCTATCGTGTGCCTAACCATGTTTACATGTTGTTGACAAAGAGAAGTGGCTTGCATTTTGAATTTTACTTAGCTTTATTAATATTTCCTAAATGTTTTTGAAAGGTGACGCTGTTCAGCACAGAAACTTGCAGTCTTATGGTAAACAGCGAGTTTACAGTAAGACTGTGACTGTTGATAGAAACAAGATTCTTATTTTAATTGTGATGTGAAACAGAGAAAGTCACACATCCTCACATGTGAAGTGGCACAATATTTCTGTATTAACAATGGATCAAATGAAGGGGTCACGCAGTAGTGATGAACCCACAGAGAATTTTCACCCAGCTCTGCTGTTCCTCTCTGCTCTGTGGGGCATTTTAGTGTCTTTCAGCTCGTTGGTTTTGGTTTTTGCGACTATCCATCTTTTCAGTTTTGGTTCAGTCTCACTGCTCTTATTAGCTGCATTTCCAGCTGTAGCGAGCAGCTATTTCCAGAGAAAAAAGTACACTACCCGCCCATCACCAGATGACAGACAAAATCTATAAACTAAAATCAGATGAACAGATTGCTGTTACACCACCAAAAAGCCAGGCTTTTTTGGGGCGTGACCAGAATGTTACTTTGAAGTGACAATCTTATATTACATGAAAACATTTCTCTCTGCTAAATGGAAATAGTGCGATATTTTGTCCTTACGTTTTACGATACAAAATCGAATTATCAGTGTTGAACAACGACACAGGAGATTCACTCAGACTGAACCTTCTCTTATGTCTACTATTTAACCACAGCAGTTGCAATGCTTCACCTCTATTTTCCTCAGGTCTGACAGCATTTTGTAGAGCCAAGTTTAAAACACTATGCATGGGAGGAGGGGGTGCGATTTCACATAGTTTCAGCAAAATGTGGGCAACCTTTCTGTCTCTCTCTTGTTTCTCCCTGCATCCCTCCTCTGGACCAGCCAATCCCTCTTGGCCACGAACGGAGTGAATGTCAGCACAAACCCACTCTTTTACTGTACTGATCCCAATCTGAAGATAACTATCGGTGTGTGTGTGTGCTTACTTGAGATGTTGGCAAGAACAGGAAAGGTCAAGGGGAATGAAGGCAGTTTGTGCATGTGCCTGTGCACGTATACATGTGTGCAGGTTGTGAGGGTGTAGTGTGAGCCTGACCCAGATTGTAGTAAATTGGTTTCGCTCAGTGGAGCCTTAAAAGATCCATAATAGGCCACAGTGGAAAGGTAGCCAACGCAATTGAGAAAAAATGAAGGGAAGGTAGAAAGAGAGAATGTAAATGTGGAGAGCAACTGGAGAATAAAGAGAGGAATGGAGAAGAAGCAGTGACGACCACCGAGGGATGCTGCAGCAGTTATGATATTACAGCAGTAATTGTTTGCAGTGAACCACAAGTATGCCTTCAGAAGTACATGTCTGTGTGTGTGTTTGTTTATGATTTGATGCAACTTTGGAAAACCCTCTTTTTAGGGTTAAAGGTTCACAGGGTCAAG